TATATAAATTTTCTAACTTAATATTGTGATAATATAGTAATATTTGATAAACAAACCAGAACAGCTGTAAAAAATAGTAATTTATTTGAATAACTTAGTATTATTATAAACGCTAAGACCTATCTTTTATGCAAAAATAGGTTTAAATGGGTTATTATTAGGTTATTGGGTTTAACCCATTGGGTTTTGGGTTAGGTTGGGTTATAGAGGGCGGAACCTAAAACCTAATGGGTTGGGTTTTGGGTCAGAGACTCCGACCCAAAATGGGTTCTGCCGAAGTCTACGATTAGGTAATAAAAACTCTGATTTATAGGGTTAAAACGAGACTATAGAGGTTCCACAGTAGGGTAGTACGACGTAGTATACTAATAGGAGGAAAACCAGGGTTTCGAGTCTGTATAGTAATGCAGAGGACTCGAAAACACAAGGCTTATAACCTGTTAGAGATACTAGAGATCTATGATAAAGATGTAGATGTAACTGGAAATCTCTTGATGCGTAGAGAGAGAGAGAAACTATCTATATGCTAAGACTAAAGTACTGGGAGCAAACAGTGGCGGTCACGTGACCTTCTAACACAAGGCTTAACACTACTCCGGTGTCAAGAAATTGAAACAAAAACTAGATAACTATCTATTGCTAGTGTATGCATAAGGCCAGCAGTAGAGTCTCCTCTTGGCACCTCCATGAAACCACCTCCACGAAACCACCTCCACGAAACCACCTCCACGAAACCACCTCCACGATATACCTCCACAAGTGATAAGGACGTAGATGGGAACGCCTATCGGGGATTTTTTACGCCTATCCCAGTAATGGCCATGGTATTATATGGTCATATTTGTACACACCCTACGGAATCTCGCTCACCCCCGGCAAAACGCTGCTTCGGGCCAATTTTTCGATTGTCTTGGCAGTACCCACCCCTTGTGCCAACCCAAATCCTAATCTATGGGGGACATGTGGGACCAATTAGTGATGAGGGTTGTAATGAAGTTTTTGATAAGGTTATTGATATCTACACCCAGAAAGGATAATCTAAGGATCACGGCAATATAGTCGCCAAGGAAAGATAGACGTCGCGTGGGATATACTTCACGCATTGGTGCATTGAGCCTTGGTTATCTAGCAAACAAAGTTGGAAGAAAGATTGCAATCCAGATCATCTGTGTCATGTCCCTGGCTGCGACAATTGTCAGCACCGCATCGGTTAACATGGGTATGTTCCTTTTCGGCAGGGCCCTGCAGGGTTTTTGGTATGTTTCCACTAGGCTCCTCTCATCACAACAGTGCTTGTCAAAGAAAAAATGTTGATTGTTTTCAGTGCTGGCATGATGGATGCAGTGTGTCCGCTGTATCATTCTGAGGTCTCTCCAGCCAACTCTCGGGGTCAGCTTGTTGGCTTCCATGCCTTCCTCCTTGTGACGGGATATGTAGGTCGACTCATTTATTTCATTATATTGTATAGTCTAACTAATCTTCTCTTTTCCAAAGGCTGGAGCGAGCTGGGTGGGACTCGGATGCTATTTTGAACCAAACCCCGATATTCAGTGGAGGCTGTGCGTTGGCTTGCAAGCAGTTGCCCCTCTCATTCTCCTTTTGGGGTCACCTTGGATCCCCGAGTCCCCAAGGTGGCTCATTTTGTATGGAAGGCTCAAGGAAGGCCGCGAGATACTCTGCAAGCTGCACAAGAACAATAATGACTCAGCAGACACATTAGCCGAGCAGGAGTATCAGACCATCTGTGCCCGAGTCGAGCTGGACCGTGCAAAGACTATGACATGGAGGTCTCTCGTCTCCAACAAATCGATCATGCGTCGCCTAGCTACTGGATTCTTTGTTGTCTTTGCTGCCAAATCCAGTGGTGTATTGGTAAGTTCACTTCCAGTACCTCCGGAAATGAATAATGGCTGAACACATGAAAAGGTTATCAATAATTACCAAGTCACCTTATACAAGGGGTTAGGAATCACCGGCTGGAAGTCACTGTTACTGCTCAGTGTCTACACTAGTTGGGCAGCGTTTATGAACTGGGTCAACGCGATGCTACTGGATCGGATTGGGCGCATTAAGCTGATGTGTTTTGGGCTTGTGAGCGAAGCATCTTCCTTGTTTCTTTAACACCATCAAAGCCATGCAACTAAAATTATGTTTTCTTAGGTCGGTGCTGCCTTTGCACTTTCTGGCGAAGCAGCTATGGTCGCTAGATTTGCTGGCACCTCCAATGCTATAGGCAATGGCCTCGGGGTGTTTTTCTTGTTCCTCTTCATCACCTTATTCGCTGGTGGAATGGATGCCTGTATGTTTTTGGCTAATGCTCTTATTCTGGATTATGATTGAACAGTTTACTAATGATTATGCTCTTTAATCCTCAGCTTGCTAGTGAGAATATCTTTACGAAATCCTTTGTTGCAGTTCTTCCGCGATTGTGCTAACCTAATTGTCCTCTAGTGTTTATAGCTCTGAGATTTTCCCGACATGGCTTAGGGCTCCAGGGTTGGCAGTTTCGGTGACAGGTCTATTCACCGCTACTCTTATCTTTACCGGCTCTGCCTCTGTAGCGTTCGCCTCTGTGGGATGGAAGTATTATCTTGGTCAGTCAAAAGAGTATTCCAATACTTGACAGTGGCGTGCTAACATCTGAAACCGCAGTCTTCATTTTCACACCGATTACATGTGCACTGATCATCTGGTTTTGCCTTCCTGAGACTAATGGTCTGTCTTTGGAAGAAATCGAACAAATCTTTGATAGGGAACAAATTGATGCAGTTGCTGTGGTTCAAATTGTGAAGGGGGATGAGATAACTGTTGTCAAAGATCAAATTATGAGCAAGAGCCATGTATAAAATGGTAGACGGGCTTCAATGTCGAACAGACTGGCCAAGCACAGCAACGTCGGTCCAAGCCTCCTGAAACCGAATGTGTTGTTAAGTATTGAAAATTGCAAGAGATTGATACTTGTTGAGTATAGCTATCTAGTCTCGTAGTAAAGTAATAAGTCTGATTTGGGTTCTTATGGTCCGATGGTCACTTTTCGCCTGACTTTTGTAGTAGACTTGGCCCCATTGGGGAAGAACTGGAGGACTATCCGACTCCACTATGATACAGGAGCTACGGGTCGACCTGATTCCATTTGACGGACTTTGCAGAGACCTTTTGTGACATTCGGCTTATTGACAACTACGTATCTTAATTGTGTTCCATACCCAGGCTAACACCCGTACTGCTCATGATAATTGTGTGAAGTCTCCATCATAATATATTTAAGGGGCGTGTGGATGTGATCCGGCCCCTTCTAGGGCTCTACAGTATTGCATTTTGAGATAGTCCATCTTATTCTCATTGTCTCACTAAATACGAGCTGTAACGTAAAGGCCATAAAACACGTATTTTTCATCATTCAGTAACCACATCAACATGCGTTTGATGGAGTAAACTATATTTGACACGATGACTGTGAGCGAGGCACTTCAGCCGGTATTCCATGGTGTTCACAAAGCAAAGTTAATCGCAATGGTCATAGTCCCGACCACCAAGACGTACTAGCAACGTGGAGCTTCACGCTCAAAGGAGTAGACACACTGGAATCTCCAGCGTAGATAGTATATTCTCCTTCTTCTTCGATCCAAGAATGACGAGTTTCATCCCAGTAACTAGTTGCGTACTTTCGATTGATGTTGATCAAAACTTTCTGCTGTGAGTTATGCCGCAAGAATGTCTTCGAAAATCCCTTGAGCTCTTTTCGCGGTCGGTTAACTCTAGACTGTGGTGGCGAGACGTAAATCTGCACAACATGTGCTCCATCCTTGTTGCCTGTGTTCTTGAGATCAACTGAGACATAAATTTCGTCCTGATCACAGTCAAGCGACAGCGAAGATATCTCAAATGTCGTGTAACTCAGGCCATGGCCGAAAGGGAAAAGCACCTGTTTGTCGCAGTACTCATACCAACGATAGCCCACATAAACATCTTCGCCGTATATCACTCGATTGGCTTCACTGCGAAAATTGACAAATGCAGGATTGTCCTCAATGCGAGCTGGAAAAGTTAAAGGCAGCTTTCCGCTAGGGTTGACGGCACCAAAAATCACGTCAGCAATAGCATGGCCGGTTTCATTTCCCCCATACCAAGCTTGAAGCAGTGCTTGTGCCTTATCAATCCAGGGCATTGTGACTGGTGTTCCGGATTGCATCAAAATGGCCGTATTTGAATTTGCTTGAAGCACAGCCTCAATAAGCTCTTCTGTTCCTGGTGGCAGATCCATGTTCTGTCGGTCAGCGCCTTCGCTTTCCCAATCGCCATTCAGGCCAACACAGAGAACAACCTGATCCACACTCCCCGCCATGGTAACCGCTTTTTCGATCTCCTCTTCGAGGGAAATCTTTTTAGCCGCTCCAAAGCGAACTCCACCGGCGCCGAAACCGCTGGCACCAGGACGTTGAAATGTGATTGTCGGATCGGTCCCCATTTCAGCATGAATGCTGTAAGTCTTCCCGGCCTGGAGCCAAATTGACCCAATCTCCTCAGTCGTGCCTGTTCCAAAAAAGCTATCCCCTCTGGTCTGCTTAGTGGCATTATCGACAACGCAATACCCATCGACATAAAGCTTAGCAGTTCCCGCAACAGTGATGCTGAACTCATATTGGCCAGAAGCTTCAGGAGTCAATGTTCCAGAAAAATCGGCGTAGTAGAGGTAACCATGGATTTTGGGGTTCTTGTAGTCCATTAAAAACACCTCAGAGTTGCTAACGTGGATATGATCCACCGGGCTCCTGTTGCGGATAGATGGATCCTCAAGATAGACAACCATGTCAAGGCCAACCAAGCCATTTGCACTTCGGAATAGGTCTGAAAGCAAAGGCAGTCGTTTCCATCCCGGGGATCCCAGGGTATACTGACATGACTTTGTCTGGCTCCGGATGCCTTCCAAAGGAGAAACTGCATGATATGGGAAAAGAGCAGCTGAACCACCTCCACAGTAAGCGGCCAACGCAGCGTTTGGCCCAATCACTGCCGTGGTCTTTTGTGTGTTGAAAGGAAGGATGTTATTGTCGTTCTTCAGCAGAACTATGGCTGACGAGGCCACCGTTCGGAGCAATTCTGCTGTTTCAAGGGTGTCAATGGTCCGCTCAGGTGCATTCTCCTGAAGTCCCAATGCCATTGCGTGATTCACCAACTTCAGCACTTCACGGACCCGGGCATCGAGCTCATGTGGCAATAGCTTGCCGCAAGTCAATGCTCGCATGATCAGCCCACCACGAAGGAGAGATGGCCCCGGCATCTCCAAATCTAACCCGGCCTTCAGGGCCTCAGATGTAGAGTAGGTTCCAAACCTAATTGAGAATCCAATGTTAGTCTTATATCCTGCATTTTGGTGATACAATACCTACCAGTCTGATACCACGAGTCCATCAAAGCCCCATTCCTCGCGAAGGATTTGCTGGATTAAACCAGGGTTCTCGCTGCAGTGTAGACCATTCAAGCGGTTATATGCAGTCATATAGCACTTTGGACCAGCATCTCGTTGTGCGATTTGAAAAGGCAGTAAATAGATTTCTCGGAGAGCCCTCTCAGTAACAATGCTGTCAACCAATTGCCTTTGATCTTCTTGATCATTGCACACAAGGTGTTTGATGGCAGCAGATACACCAGTCGACTGAATTCCGTTCACGGTCGCAGCACCGATCGTGCCTGATAAGATCGGATCTTCACCGAAGGACTCAAAGCCTCGACCGCCGAGTGGAGATCGCTGCATATTCACTGTTGGTCCGAGAATAACGGCAACCCCTTTTACGATGGCTTCTTTTCCTTGCAACTCTCCTACTTTTCGGGCAAGCTTCACATCCCAAGTTGCACCGATTGCGGTTCCTAATGATCAAAAAGTTACTTCACCTTTCCGATGATTAAAGCGAGAATAAATCAAAAGCACGCATACCACATGGAAAGCACGCTGCTGGAACGCCATTGAATAATTTCGTTCCTCGAACACCATTAGGCCCATCTGACATCCGTATTGATGGAATTTGCAGGCGATCAATGTTGGCCGTGTGCCAGAAGTCCCTACCGGTAACAAGGCTAATCTTCTCGTCGATTGTAAGCTCAGTCAAGAGCTTCTCAATGTTGAGTGACATTGCGATATATTGGCTGTAGGTTTAATGTGGACTTTTGATAGCTAATCAACGATGCTTGATCTAACTAGTAATATCATATATTTATATCTTGGGCCATATCTCAACTAATGGCTAAACTTCGGGAATATGTGTAGATTAGAAGGAGGAGCGGGCGCGGTATATTCTAGGCCATCATATTGTGGACCGACCTATGACCCACAGAAGTTACCTATTAGCTCTATTGGTCTTTCTTAAAGTTACTTTATCTTAATAATCTACACTTTTTTGTATCTTTTTTTAATTTTTAATATCTAGTGCCACCTCCACCCCCAAACTCTAATGCTCAGTTGGAGATAAATTTGGAGAGTCTGATACTTGCTCAATGTGTTCATTTAATATCTAATTAGATTATTATAGATAATATAATAGTGGCGCTATCTAGAGAGTAAGTAATATATATTTTGGAAGCGAACCCGTGGAAATGAAAATACTTTTGAAGAGGTATGTACCTAATCTCATTCCAAAACTGTCTGCTTCTCCCGTAGTTACAGTACCCTTTCCGGCATGATCCAGGAACTGAGATGTCTGATATACTTCTCATTCAACACAAAACTGCTGAATGAAATAATTTCCGTGTTGCTTTGGTGCAGGCGGAGCCGATCTGGATTGATGTGGATGTACAGTATTCGTTGAGAAGGTCGACGATACCCAGTTGGTTGTATATGTAGTGCGTTGAATTCCTGACTATCTGTAATGAGTATTTTGACTAGGATATGCGGTTTTGATGTTATATTACTTCAGCATTATATTGCTATATATATGGCTCTCTATCGAATGATCAAACGAAGAAGATTCAGGAAACTATTTGTCAGATTTCATAGTCTCTCTGTAGCTTAGCTTCTACAACTCACTACTCAATCAAGCATCTCACATTCACCATGCACTTCGACGTAGTCCTCTCCTGACACTATTCATGAAAATGGAAATGCTGTTATCATGGGTTGTATGGCCGTAAAAGAAACTCGCTCTATCTCGGCCGAATTTTCATCAATCGTGGTGGAGCAATTGGGATGACTCGCAGAATTATTTAGCCTCATGGGACGATTTCGGGGTAGGCAGTGGAAGATTTCTACTACATGTTGCTAGCGACTCAGTTAATTTTCGGCGAAGTCGGTGCTATTTACAGATGGGAGTACTCCCAACCGCTTCTCAAATCTCACATGCATTCCCAGTCAGGGGAGATTCACGTTGTAGCATGTCCAGCTTAGTTACGCCAGGAAAAGAGAAAGGACACTGGGTCCACAGAAAATGAAGGTAAGTTGCTACTGAGAATCATAGTTGTAGATGGAAAATATTCATCTCTGCTGAAAGTTGTCGCAAACAAACTAACTCAGTATGATCCGTTCTCAGGCTGTCTTTCTATCTTCCCCTCACCTGGTCAAGTTTTCCCTGTCATCTAATGCAAACGTTCTTTTTCTTTGGTTCCGGTTTCGGGCAGTGATCGTCTGGCTATCCTACAAGCGATAACACTTCGAAAATTAATAAGGCAGAATTCAATTGATGCTTAAGTTCAACACACGTTATCAGTTTTTATTATTCGTCTAGACACCCCGGGAGTTATTTCTGATGGTGCGGCTTCTGTCTCTTGACCTGCACCAGCCTCAAATCACAACACGCCTCAGCGGCCAATAATCATGGCATGACATAAATTACGTCAATTGGGCTCATCCAGGAGACCATAGGATTTTTCGAGTGTTTCTATACAATGAAATGGCATCAGTCACAGTACGTCTGTCAAGAGAAAACTCATACCAAGCCTTCACTCACAGTACGATGGGAGTCTCATTCACAGGTTGGAGCCGCGCGGGTTGTAGGCCTCAACCTCAAGCTCGATCAACATCTGGGGGAAAGCAAGGCGGGGCACGGCAATGGCGGTCCAAACAGAGCGGTGGCCAGGAATGCGAGCCCGCAACTTCTCGACGGTATATTCCCAAGAGGCGCCAATGTCGACGTGGTAAGATCGGAGCAGATAGACATCCTCCCAACCCTTCAGACCTGCGGCCTGGAGAACTCGATCGACATTATCGAAAGCCAAATCGATCTGACGCTTGAAATCATTCGCATCAAGAGCACCTGTGGAGGTCCAGCCACCCTGACCTGAGCACTTGACAATATTTCCAGGAAGAATGACAGCCTGGGAATAGTGGCCAATGTCACTATGCTTCTCGCCGGCACCTTTCTCGTTGATATATGTGAAATTAGACATTTTTCAAAAGGCAACTGATGGCTTGTAATGAATAATGAAGACGAATGTGACGGATTGTTTGTATTGAGAGGAAGATAATGAACTTTTAAATAATGTTAGGAATTTTCTAACATTCTATCAGCATCATGGAGCGGTGTTTGGAGGTGTCTTGGCATTATGGAGAAGAATACAACACGTCATGCTCGTTGTGGGGAATACCACAGGCTACTTTCTTCTTATCTCCAATGGCGATATCAGATGGCGAAGCTCTTAGTAATTTTCCCGAGGACTCCAATGACCCAATTTGTTGATCCGGCAGATAGATTGTTTGATAGATTGTTCAATCGCAGGGGAGCAGCACAGCCCTTCATGATTTCGATGGACCAACTGTGACTAAGCCATACATAGCCACCCTCTCATTAACTAGTGGTTGGCGATAATCCCCCAAAGAGCCATCGTCAGGTGCATTTCCGGAGTCTGACATTCATTCCTCCGTATGTTAGTCCGCAAAATCGCGCTTGTAGTTTAGCTTTCCAATCCGTCATACCCTTCTAACCAGCCCGCTAGCCTTTGATCGGTGTGAAAGCGCATCTCAGTGTCACCCAGGCAGAGCCACAGTAATGTGCTCTCCATTACCTCCAACTACTCTCAAGACCTTGGGTCTCGCAACTGCTAGCATACAACTCAAGACCATCTCCGATGATTTTCAATATCGGCCATTGCGCATTTCGCTTAATGAGAAGAGCCCATAATTTGACAACAGCGAAAGCCAAATAAGCAGTATTGGATGATGGCGATGGTCGAGTCCATAGTTCGTCATCCCATGAAGTCCGCCCTTCTTCGACTATTTCATCAATCCAGCCGACTAAACGATTCTCGTGTTCTAAGCGGCTAAGTCAGACGAGCAGATGTTAAGTGCTAGGGCTGAGAACGTACCACTGAGAGATCGGGTCTTTTGACAATCTGATAAATAAGACAGCCATTTGTTTGTGCAAATAGCAAATTCTAACCCGCAAAGAGAATGTTGCACGCTCCAAACAAAAGCATGACTTTTCGCTATGAATTTGATACCGAGCTTGATCGGTATGCTGAGAGCATGTGTGGCATGCAATATTGCCGGAAGGAGATAGGGGCTCGGCGATGGTAGCGGAAGCTTGAGAAATCGGTCCGCAACTTGCTTTGCGTCTTGACAAGAAGCTATCCTGTAAGGTCCGATGTCGAAAGCAAGGCGAACATACGCAAGACCAAGAAGCGCTGCTGAAGTGAACGGAACAGGGCCGTTTGGGTTGCGAGGATCAAGACTTGACTCAGGAGTCCGTTGCCAAAAGCCTGTCCATGCACGGAGCGCGTTGCTATTGACATGTGGGTTTGGCTCAAGGCAGGTTCCATAGACACACGTACCAAATGCTATCTTTTTGGCTATTCAAAAGCGTATGATTATTTGTGTTATATGACCCGAAGGCTTGGTATGTAAGCGAAATTCGCTGGAGAAGAGCGTGGAGGATAATATAATTCGCCAAGGGGGACGGTATGGGCTGCGAAGGCAATCCATGAGGATCCTGGGGATGCCTTGTCACATATAACAAGGCGTCTTGAAGGTGCATCTGCTCTTGATGATTTGTGCCACGAAAAATTGACCATTTGGTGGGATTTGGCGCTATCCACTCGATGCAGGTGCAAGGCAGGCGCAAATTGATTTCATCACTCAGCAAGATGGGCGGTGAGTTAAAAGCTATGGAGTGTAAGTTCAAAATTACGAAAGAGAAGAACTTGACTCTCCGCTGAGATTCATTTTGAATCCATGATTGCCAATCCATAGCTGTATTGGAATTCAACTCCTGCAGTCCGCACTCTCTGACGCATGTTGCTAAAAAGCTTTGAGGCTGAATGCTTCGCGGACAATGTTTCGTTCACTTTGCCAAGTTGCAAAGGCAATGAGATGAAGTGCGCAGCGTGCCTCATTTATCAACCTTGTGATTTTCCCACTGCTGTAATCTGTGTTTGGTTCTGAGTGTGAAAAACTGCAAGCTTGGCTATTCGGGCCCGATGGATAGCTCATGTCCATTGACGTCATATTTGTCTTGCGTGCTTTATATTCGAAGATGTCTTTCGCGGCATAAAATAGCACGATAGATTTTCGATTTTCATGTCTGTATTGCGCGCCAAGTGCTGCCATAGCCAAGAGGAGCTCTGGCTCAGAATTTTCAACACTCATTGTTGGGATATGCATTACAGGTATGTGAGGGTAGAAGCCATCGAAGTACCCATTCAAGAATCTTGTTAATGAGTGACAAGAAGGAAGAGGAGGCAGAGTGTCTGTTGCACCACCCCGGGATTTTCGAAGCGCGAAAAGAAGACGAATACGATGTGCTTCAGTAACCGCCAAGATTGGCATTGTTAAAACGCAGAATTCCGCTGAACATTTGAACATAAAATCTTAGAATTTCTCGACTATCAATGGAGGTCCAATAGAGAGCTGGGGTTCTTACTAATATAGTCTCTCTCAGATGGAAGTTTGCTGAGAGAGTGAGGCGAATCAACTTTGTCCTGAGAGCAAGAGGCAGTTGAGGGTGTCGGGACTGAATTGAGATTCCTTTCACCGGTGAATATTTGCACAACACTCGGCTCAGAAGGCAGTGACCAATCGAGGTTGAGGCCCATGTTTTGGCTGAAAGCTTCCAAATCTTGAAGCATCAGCATATCCTGTGCATCCAAGGGACGATCTTTGAAGAACATCAATAAGCAATCTATCATAGAGAGTAGAATTTTATGGCTTATTCCATGATACACACCTTCAAAATGGCCATGGTCAAGTTGGCTTTGCTCCAATGCCCCTATCGACTCGATTAAACCTCCCTCCTGGTGAACAGGATATTCTCCCCAAAGTTGGTCCCCAATTTGTCCTGAAAGTGGTTTCTCCACTCCTGGTTCAGTAACCTGGGAGTTGCGGAGAGTTATAGGAGGTTTTATCTGCGTTGGATGTGTGTGGGTGGACGGATGCTGGAGTTGGTGCCGCTTCAATAGGTCTCGCCGGCCAAAAGAAGCACCGCAGCTACATTTATATGGTTTTTCGTTTGTGTCTAAAGATTTTTCTAGTTATTATACGCTTCCAACAAGTTGTAATCTCTCGTTTCTTTCTTTCATCTCTAATTCCTTCTTGTCTTGTGGCAGCTCAACGTACGAATTCTGATGTGCCGTTCGAGATGTTCGTACCGACCGAATCGGCGTGTACAGTATGGACAAATTGTCGGCTTTTTGGTTCCGGCTCGCACAGATTCGGGGCCCTGAGAATTGGGTGGCATTTCCATCGTTGCTGCTTTGCGGGGGAGAGATTTGCACAATGAGATGGTAAAAGCCTAGCCGTCGGGCGCGATATTTGACCGCAAACCAATTGCAGTGTGGTGGGTGATAGCAACGTAAAGATCATTCCGAAGTCCGATGATAAGAAATTGATTTGTCAAGCCATCAATCATTGGCCTATGTTCACAGGCTGTCCACTGCCCCTCTACCCTTCGTATAGAGATTACAACAACGTGGCAGCACACGACGCCGTGATCTTTTACAATCATTTCATTAAGAATGTACTGGGTATGTTATCGGCGACAGTCTTCTCGGCCGTGCCTATCTCCTACTACAGCTACAGACAACATGGAGTGATCCCGGGTCCCTGGGTGCTCCCGGGATCTCGACTGGCGTTCCTAAATCCCTCATACCCCACCCCTAGGAATCATTTAGACCTTGCCAACCCTCACCATTTGGTCCCATAGGAGCGCCAAGAGTGCTATTAGGCATTGCCGATAGGCTTTAAGTAAGCGGGCAATACCCACCGCAGGCATGCCTATAGACGGGCACTACCCTAGACGCCCACGGGCAATTTTAGTAAGTAGAATCCTTAACCTTTTGACTTATATTATTTATATATTTTAGCTCTGTACTTTTAAGTAATTTAATTATATATAGACAGGCACTACTGTAGGGTAGGTGACGGGAATGCGGAGGAGGAGTTCGGGAAAGAGGGGCTCTGTGCAAGGACGTCAATATGGGATCGAACCCCGATGCCTCAATCAGCGTATATAGCTCTTCCCCAATTGAAGAAATTGGATTTGGAACATTTTACAATAGTCCGATCTTAGTGAGCAACAATTTAAGATAGGACATATCCTAACTATGGCCCTTCGCAATCAGACATTTACTTATACAAACATGATTAAATTACACCTTTTAAGACCTCATCTGATCCGACATCCCATGCTCATGCTCAAGGGTATACTCCGTCGTAACACGAATAGCCATTGGATCTCGATTCCCAGTACCAGCTGCCACGCCCAGATTTCCTTCAAGAATATACTCCTCACTCCCCGCCTCGGAAATGGGATTCCCCTTATTTGTATTCAGCACACTATCCAACTGAAACCCGCCACTTTTCCGAGACCGCGATGAAACAAACGTCTTCGTCTTTCCAGAGTTCGACCCAGCCCCATTGTACCCATCGCTGTTGTAGTAGGGGCTCTTGGAATTTTTGCGGTTGGTCGATCCCAGCCAGCGTGTGTTACGGAAGAGCGGTTTGATGCCGGGTAGGGAGACGACGATGGCTGCGACGAAGCATTCGCGGTCCGCCCAGCCGAGTGCAGTGCCGAGGTTCGTGATTGATGATAACGAGTAGTAGGCACGCAGAATTGTGCAGATCATAATGAAGACACCCGAGGAGAACATCATTACCAAAATTATTTTGCGTTGGAGTGGGATTTGGAGTTTGGCGAGGATTGGTATTGGGATCAGGATTATGCAGGCATCGGACCTGATCATGATGTTAGGATTAGATTCTGGAATTTGGGGCCTCTTGGGGGTGACTTGCATTACGTTGAAGACGGCGATGACAATGTAAAGAGGCTCGCGGAGAGTGCAGTTGTCTGTTTTGGTTAGCCGAGGGTTGTCGGGTAAAGCTGACTGTCGAGACTTGCCTCCTGTGTAGGGTTTGATCTGCCAATTTCGCTCAACTGGCCTGCAGATGCAGATGTGTGTCAATAGGCAAATCAACCATGTAATCAGGCAGAATGATGCAGCTGCTGTAACTAGGTGACGGTGCCAAGTCCCTTGTCTGTGAAACTTTAGATATGCTCAATAATCACATAGACCGTTGATGGGTGGGATATTGACATACGTTAGTTTCCAGTAAAGGCAAATAAGAACACCCTTTAGGCACCAAATATAGCAAATATACCATATCCAGTTCATGAAAGCCAGCTTCGATCCGATGATCATATCAGAGATTTTGCTGTCTGGGACAAGCATAGCTGTTTTCTCGTTTAACCCAATGTTGTTGCCATACACCCCTATTTGAACGTTAGCTGTGTTGTGAAAAAGAATTCCCATTGGTCATCATTTCTTATTATTTACCCAGAAGATGGATTATAACAGTCTGCATGGTCCAAAATATCTGTCATGGCCTTGTTAAAAACCAAATCCAACAAAGACTGAATAAAAAGAACATACCATGGCAGAAACGGCAAAAACATCATCCAGCCGAAGCCCGCGAATGCCTCCTATGTGAAGCCGGGCATATAGTCGGACTAAGAGAAAGATCATGCCAATTCCATATTCAGTGAAAGTTTCAATTGTCAAGGCTGCAGCGGACATGGTGAATATCAAGAAGAATGACAACGCCTGTTCGTGAAAAAGGCAATCTTAAGCAATAGCTTATCTTAAACACACGCTGTTTTGTATGGAGAAATGATCTCCGGTATTAGTATCAATTAACCACAAGCAGTGGTGCGATCAACTGGATCTATCACCTTCAAATTCTTGCTGCAACGCGAATACTCGCCAGGTATCTTTGTCTTGATCTACTTCGATGTCAGACCAAAGTTCTAGCAGACAGACTGTTGTAGGATAGATCTCTATGCTGTTCAGTCCACCAAACACGAGGAACTTTTTACTAGTACAAAGTACTGTCGATGAGGGATCGATATTTTCGTTCCATGTACTCTGCAATCCACTCTGGTACACGATGACGATAATTAGGGACACATACAATATACAGGGATTTTCCACCGGGCTTATGTAACATAGGCAACGGGGAAGATTCCCGAAAAGGATTATAGAGCATTTGACAGGATTTCTACTCCCCACAAGAATCTGATTTTTTCTTTAACGCAACATACTTTGCATAGCCCTAATTTTGTTACGGGTCTAGACTAGGGGTTATTGACCCACGCCAAAGGACTGGTATGTGAAGTCTAAAGAGCTTTGACTTCTTAACTGAAGCATCAGACACACGGCTATCCTTTTAGATCTCGACTCTACAACCATGACCATAGAATTCAATAAATGATTGAACAACCTCTGTGACCTCAGCTGTGAAAAATAAAAATCCCAGCAGTAAATCTGCCAGAAAGCAAATTTTAATTGAAAAAGAATAGACCTGGCTGTTTCAGGGGCCCGGGGATTACCCAGACTAGCAATATTGGGGATTATCAGTTCAAGAAATAAGTATCCCAGCTGTGGATATTTTGATGGCTAAGAATACAATCATACCCGGTAAGGATTTATCGTTACACGGCCATAAGAAGAACCTACAAATGATATAATAGTTGCTCCAAGCAGCCGGCTTGCAACACATCACACTCCAACCCAGAAATTTTAAGAATCTAAGAAGAATGCCCAAAGTCGCATTGATCACAGGAGGAGGTGTGATGAACCCCCACAGCAGACCTATGCATTCAAAATCAAGCTAAACCCAACCAATTCACAGCCAGCGGAATGGGCCAGGCCGTAGCCAACGCCCTATCCTTGCGTAATGACTGGGAAATCCACATCCTCGATATCAACTCAGAGCACGGAGCCCGTACAGCAAACGACCTACCCCGGACGACATTCCATCACGCTAATGTGACCAAATACAGCGACCTTGCAGCTGCGTTTCAGAGCATGTTCCAACAACACAGGAAGCTGGACTTTGTATTCGCGAACGCAGGTGTCATTGAGCGTACCAATTTCTACTCCACACCACAAGCAGAGAACAACAGGGATGTGTTCCCACCGCCGGAGCCAGACCTGCTTTCGATTGACGCTGATTTGAAGGGCGTCATCTTCACGGCTTACCTGGCCCAGCATTATTTCCGTCACTCGCCTCACATGGGCCGAGACTCAAGCTTGGTTATGACTGCTAGTTGTGGTGGGTTGTATCCATCTTCCTATTCGCCGCTGTACTCTGCGGCCAAATGTGAGTCCCCCACCCCCTTATTATTCACGGTACAATATCCCCTGTTGCCCCTCCCCACGTACTATTGTAAAATCATATGATGATCATTTGACCTATCGACCATTACTACGATCGCACAGCTCATACCTCGTATCAACTACGATTTTGTTTTTCGTTCTGCTCAAACGACCAACACTAACATAACCCAGTCGGCGTAGTGGGATTCATGCGATCGATATCGCAACACTTCCGCGCAAGTGGAATCCGCGTCAACGCCATCTGCCCAGGAATTGTGCGCACCAATCTTGTCGACTCGACGGCCTGGGACAGTTTCCCGCCTGGCCGGTTCATCGATGTGGAAACGATCGCCCGGCTTGTGCTCCAGCTCGTGGATGGCGGCGAACCCGCGGGCCGGGGATTAACTGATACTCCCGGAAGACACTTACCCCTGGAAAAGCTATACGGAGTTGCAGTGGAAATTTCGGATAGTGGGTTTTATTTCCGGGATCAGCATGCCTTTTGTGATGAAGGGATGCGTGAGGTTATGGAGGCAACGGTAGTCGAGAATCAGCTGGGTGCTGTCCTGAATGGTTAGCTGGTGGGAGCGTAGGATCATCAGGGCCATTTTTAGGCACAAGTTATGAGCATTATTGTTAGATCGTTTCGGTCCCTGCAATAGATAATGATTCTCGTTGCGATCTTTAGAGTTTCTTCGGGCTTGTCTGCCGTCCTTCTTTTTTCAGCTTGGCATACACCTCTTAGTTAAAATTTCATTATTGAGATCATCCGGAGTTACATGATGAGAGCAAAATGGGACAAATTTCGGTGAAATACCGTCAGAGAAATGGGAAACTCCGCAGAACAGAAGTTTCCCATGGCCCCATCGAGAAACAAGGGTATATAAACGAGAGTGCACTCCCTACTCCACTTTTAAGTTGCAGGGATGTTTATCAAATCGACAAATTATAACCTACACTATTTCTAAGTTGCAGTCCGGATTTATTCTTTGCTGTTGCTTGGGCCAATCAAGTAGTGAAGCGAGGTTAAACTCGACATATCGACTCTCGGGTGGTTTGTGTGTTGTACATACTTTTCACCCATACATAACACTGACGGGCCGTCCGGGAAAAGCGCCACTTCCTTGTGGAGTTACTCGCACATCACCGTTGCATGGGGGCCAAGTCACGAGCAGAGCGTTCAAGCGGGAAAGACACGGGCCAGTATGGAGTACCGAAAATAGTGGATTTCAATCTTGGCTGGGGCCACAAGCGGCAGCGCAATTAACCAGAAACAAAATAGACCATCTGATAGATGATAGATCACATTTTACTCCATACTCCGTACTACGTACGCCGTTAGAGACCCACGCGGAAGAGAACAACCCTGTTTCCCGGAATAATACGAATGCAACATCAGAAATAAATATATTATTGGCTCGCTTGGTTGATTGATCTCAAGGGCGAAGATCGTCACAGACCGTGCTGGTGGTGGAGCCTATTGTATTTTTTTTATGACACTAAACTAGTTAGGGCAGTAGTCATGGGTTGGACTTCACCCCCCCCCCCCCCCCCCCCCCNCCCACCCCTTTGCTCACTGGATAGCATCCTGCAGCCCAGAGTCTTCGCCATGCATGATGCGGAATAGTGGCTCCCAGACTGTGACAGCCCGCTTTGTGATATTACCATTTCCGGGTTCGGGCATCTGGTAGTAGATCAACTTGTCGGCTGAGCACTCTAATAGCTCACCTGTCATGCCAGTCCAGTCTTCTAAAAAGGTTTCATAGCCTTCGAGAATGGTCTGCACAGGAGTGAGACTAAATGCAAGGTGATGTCAGTATTCCGCGTTGCTGCTCAAGGGTAACAACAAGATCTTACCATTCCGGAGTGACAGCAGCAATCATCTCGGGTGGCACAATGGGCGTGCTCACAATCCCCGGCATGACACAATTGATAAAAATATTCTCCTTTTGCTTCAGTAATGGCGCAACGCCACGGATGAAGTGGTTCACTGCAGCCTTGGAGCCACAGTATACCGGATACGACTCATGGGGGAAGACTGCGCCAATACTACCCGTGACGACAATGCGACCACCTGGCTGCGGGTTATGGCGCATGAAATGGATTGCCAGCTGGGTACCATACACAACGCCCTTGTAGTTTATGTCCACAGGGGACAGATCCGGTGCCGACGGTATGTTGTCCACACTGTTGTTCTTCGAGTCGTAGATGTAGATGGAAGACGTATCGACAATACCGGCATTGGCACATAACGCATCAATACGCCCCCAGAGCCGATGCACTTTGCCGAATACACTCGCATACTCTCCATAGTTGGAGACATCTGCTGCAAAGAAGTGCGCTCTATCCCGCGGTAGGTCTTTCATGAGGGCGTCACCAGCCGCGTGGCGCCGACCTACACATGCGACCTTCCAGCCTTTTGCGCAGAGGTTCTTGGCGAGGTCAATTCCCATGCCAGACTGTAACGGAACTTTGGTCAGTAACTGGTAGCGGGTCATGTATAGTCGGTTTGATTGTACTGACAGTGGCCCCTGCGATGATAGCAACCCGGGTTTCAATTTGTGAGCCCATCATATAAGCTGAGACGGGATTGTTTGATAGTTAATGGGGAAGAAACCACTTCAATTGCAAAAGGAAAAACGGAAGTCTGCGGAAAGCCTACTGGATCTCGGCGTATGTTGTACGCCTCGATTCTCGGAGATTTTGTCCTCATATTGTAGTGGATGTTAGCGTGAGACGATCCTGAGCCGTTGGGAACTAAAAGCCCCTCTCTTCATATGATTGAATTATAGTAGAAGTTTATTGTTAAAATTGTTTCTCTTTACATTCCCCCCTTTCTATTCCTTGCATTCCTAAATTGCAGCATGGCTGGGGACACAGAAAAGGATTCGGTGCAGGCTGGTTCTCCAATGGAGACCCCAAGCTCACCTTCGACTGTTTCTAATGAATCAACTGAACCGGTTGTCACTTTAAAGACGTGGATCGTCTCTTCGGTATGTATATGACAGGTCAACTATTTTGTGCATGCTAATTGTGCATATAGATTCTTTCTTGTGGTTATGGCCTCTCTTTCTGGCCTATCCCAGTCGTGTCAGCAATTGGCACCATGATCTCTACTGATATGGGTGACCCGACTGGATATATATGGTTTGTTCCAGTGCGTAAAGATTGTTCCCAAGATTTAATGGAAAGAACTGATCCAATTACAGGCTTGGACTATCTCGATCACCTGCGCTTTCCTGATCTTGTATGCTTCTGAAACACCGATATCTCATTCAATACTAATCAAACTTCACAGTGGCCCAAACACCGATCTTTTAGGTCGACGCTGGTTCTTAGTTTTGGGCAATCTGGTAAATTTTATCACCGCGACTCGATAAATAGCATGTCTTACTTAACATTCCTCTAGGTGTGCTTCATCGGTCATATTGTGGTAGCATCAGCCAAGAGTACCAACCAAGTCATTGCCGGGCTCGTTATATCCGGTTTTGGCGGTGCAAACTGTCAGGTATGACCCCCAAATCGATTTATACTCATACCTTTCTGAGTTGTTCAGCTAAAAGACCATCCACAATATAGATGGCTGCATTCGCCCTGCCAGAACTCCTACCCAATAAATGGCGACACATCGGAGTCGTGATCGCCGATTTCACGGTCTACATAGCGGTAATTGTTGCACCAGTGACAGCCCGCTATGGCTACGAGCTCGGAACCTGGGCTTGGAACTTCTGGGGTGTAGCCATTTTCCAAGGTCTATCATTTTTTGGTCTATTATTCCTCTATCACCCACCCAAGCACCCGTAAGCCCCTAACCCCATGCCCAGTGAAACCAATCAAGCTAACCGCACAACCCAGCCTCGGCATCTCATACAAAGAAGCCTTCAAATCCTTAGACTACCTCGGCGCCTTCCTCTTCATCGGCGGTGCAGTCCCCTTCCTAATGGGCATTGTATGGGCTGGTGTCTATGACTCAAACGACGTTCACGTCGTCGCCCCACTAGTCGTCGGCGCGGCTGTGCTCATCTGCTTCGCGCTGTGGGAGACCTTCGGCAAGCTGAAGTATCCGCTAACACCCACCTATATCTTCGCCAGCTCGCTAGGTCGCGACTTCACAGCGCCTGTAATTGCACTTGGCGTCGTCAATATGTTCTATTACTCGTCTAGCATTCTATGGCCGCAGATGATCACAGTGTTTTATACGAACGGCGGTGCGGACTGGAAGTACTCTGTTATTCTGTCGTTGCCGCAGGGATTCGCTATCTTCTTCGGTGCTATCCTTCTCACTTGCTTTGGTAGTACGCTGCGGCATTGGCACTGGCAGCTTACCGGGTCGGTATTTGTTATGGTTGTTTTTGGCTCGTTGCTTGGTATTGTTACACCGACTAATCAGGGTACTATGATTGCTTTCATCTTTCTCTCTCAGGCTGGGTTTGGGTGGGCTCTTTATTTGAGTATTGCTATTACACAGATGGGCGTTGAGCATAAGAATCTTGGTGTTAGTGGTGGGATCTCGGGGTGCATTCGCTTTGCTGCTGGGGCTGGTATGTCCTTGTCTATTTTGGCTACTCATACTGTTCTGTCGTGTTTGATCATGCTAATCCTCGCCCCCAGTTGCGACCTCAATCTACCAAACAGTCTACAGTAACACATTGGCAAAGTACACAGCTATATATGTCCCCTCCGCTGCCATCTCCGCAGGACTCCCAGATTCCAAGATTCCAGATCTAATGGCTGTGGTATCTCAAGGTGCCGCTGCAATGAAATCATATACTCCTGCCGTGGTGGTGGCAGCAGAGGCGGCTCTTAGCCAAGCCTACTGCAAAGCGATCTTGTACGTACACATAATCATACACAGTGCTTACCCGCGCTCTCGGGAAGAAACAGGGAGGGAAAGAAGCAGTTTCTAATGATTTCTTCTAGTGTGGTGGCTATGGTATCGATGGCCTTCGGCATCTTGGGTCTTGCTGCTTGTCTATGTTGCAAGGATGTTGATTCAAAGATGACCAACAAGGTGCGTTACTTTATTTTCGATTTAAGGGTTTACCAATGTGAATACAGCTAACGGGGCTCGTTCTTTAGATCGAGGTGTACCTTGAGAACACAGATCTCTCGGACCGAAACAAGTATCATTAGATCAAACTATTCGAGCGGTGGTTATTTTCATGATCTGTTAGCACGCTAGTGAGGTAATTTGCCGTTTAGCAAAACAAGTCAGGCGAGTCTAGCTACATTTTAGCCATATATTTTAGCCATAGAAAGGCATTTAGCTCAACACAAGAATAGTCGGGCGCTCATGCGGCCTCTGTCCCTGACGACGTAGGACTCTATAAATCCGATCTACTTGGTTAAGGGTGATATAAGAAAGATTATATGTAAGAACACACCGACATGTGTTTGGATGTTCTTTTAAATGCATACAAAGTCTGTATAACCCTTGATAATAAAGAGAGCAAAGAGGGCAAAACCTTTACTTTATGCAAACAATCCCATGTTATGTCGTTTTCTTGGTACAACGAAATCCGTTACATTGGTTACTACTGCTACACAATAGATATTATGGCTAAGAGATACATCCACGGCATAGCATTCATATTTGTGTATCCATCCAGTCTGATTGATTCTAGTTCTCCGAGCCATTTGATTCCCATCACCCCTAGATCGAAGACTGTACGATCTTCAGAAGAGGATAGCAAAGTGGTGATGTCTTTCGCCAGGTGATTGATGGTTGGCGACCATATCGGGATTCAGGATTTTGTATGCGACATCGAGCTCTCCGGCCAGCTCAGGAGCCAGTCCAGATGCGAAGTAATAAAAGAAGGATCCCGGGCAGCAACAAGGGCGCATGCATTTCGATGGCATTCGCGACGGGGTATATTCCATTAGCAAGAACGGATTCCAGGTCATACTCATACGGCATTGCATACTCGCGTTGTGTGCGACGTATACCACAGATAAGCTCATTGGGTTGAACCAAGAGATTGTTCACACTGGGCAGTGCAGAGACGAGAATTGTTCCATGGCGGGATGGCAACCTTCACGGGAAGGGTGCTGGCTACTGTGTCAAGTGAAGATATGGGATATGGACCTCGGTCCAGATAGTAGCAGCATTCATTACCAATTGACGTCGCTGAGCTGGAGTTTGCGGGAACGGAAGGCGGACCGGTTCGCGCCGGCTTTATCCATTCGCTGGCCAGTGGGGGTGCGCTTTTCTTGGGTTGCTGCTTTGGGATATCTCAGTTCGAAGTTCTTCCGGTTAACCAGGGGATACTGCTCACTCTCAGTGGGTTCGGGTTCGGTCGACGCCTCGTAGTTCAGGACCAGGTTCTTGATGCGCTGCTGTTCTTCCCGATCGGCTTGTTGCTGGCTCCGCATGGCAATAGCAAAGGTCGAGTCCGACGGGAGATCAATGGTGCGGGTCTAGATATGATTAGCAATTTGCAGGATATTGCGGATTTGAATGGAAAGTCCAACCTGTTGCTTGTTTCCCTTCTTTGTCATCAGGGAAAAGGCCATTGTCTTGGGCGCAACTGGTTCTGCTGGGACTGGCTCAGGGCTGGGCATGTTTTCGCGGGGGCGTTTCATGGGAAGAGGGATATCGAAGACAGTTTTACGTTCGAACCGTCTCGAGTCCATGCTCTCAGCCATCATCTTCTCGAATTCTCGATCAAATTCAGCTTCGGTTACTGGGTCTCGCTCCTCTTCCTGTCTGGTGACAACAATTTGTTCGTCCTCGGACTCGCTATCGCTGTCGTAATTTGCCTCTGGATTGGGTCCAGACGCCTTCGACGGGTAAAACGGGTTAATGGGGCGTACTTCATGGAGACAAGATGGGGGACCTACTTCGGCCTCATCGCTGGATTCCTGGTCTTCATCTATTTCGGGAATAGCATCCTCCTCAAGGTCCTCGTCAGAAGAGCTACTCTCTACATCTTCTTCGTCGGCTTCAACTGGTCTCTCGGAATCCTGAACGTTGTAGTTCAGGGCAACAGCTTCGCTGAAAATCCGGGTGGCTTCTTCACCATCGGTGGCAAGCTTCCACTGCGGGCGAATAGAGTGGTACGTATCCTGGACGAGGAAGTCGACATCCATGGGCAGTGGATCCTTGGTAAATAAGTAGTACTGGAAGAAAGCAAGGAAGAAATCCAGTTTCTTTTTCGCAGATCCACGGTCAAAACAATGACCACACGTGTCAAGAAGAGTGCATGCCAAGCGCAAGCGGAAGTAGTCGTCTGGCAAGTCCAGCATACTGATCTTTCCAGGGGCCGGGGTACCACCTTCATGGCCAAAGGTGATAATGCGGTACAGCGTATCGAAGATCACGGGGGAATCAATCATCTTATAGTTGTAGAGCTCACCTAGGTATTTGATTTCCGCAATACGCTTCTGGTTAAACTTGAAATCGTTCTGCTCGAGGCCAAGCGTGACCTGCTCCAGGACGTTGTCGACGATGCCAATGACGAAATCCTGGTGGTACCGGTACAAAGCACTGACAAGAATTGCCAAAAGGTGGATGCTACCATATTTCACCTTGACCGGTTTGCTGAACACACGTTCCAGAATATCAACGACCTCTCGCTCCTCCCAATGAAGTTTGCGGATGGATTTCAAGATCTTGGTGTAATTCCGCTTGTTCATATCGAGATAGATTAGCCGGCGGATGTACTGCTCCATGGGCGTACGTTCCTTCTGCTGGATCGCTGGACGTGGGGGCGGGTCAACATAGTAGATGGCATTTTCGATAACCATCCGCTCCTGCTGGGCCAGATGTTGCACGGTCTTCTTGCGACTCAAAGTCTCGAGGAAAGAAGCCATCCGGGGTGATGAATCGGGGTTGCGCAGAAGGTAACGGCCGCAGTTCTCCAGCAAATGGCCGATAATTTCAATGTTCATGCGCGAAAACTCGTCAAGCGAAACCTTGAAACAATGGAAGATGATGTGCTCCGGAACGACACCAAACTTAGTCAATTCAGCTAGGTAGCGAACATTGCTCATGCGTACTTGACCGAGGAATTCCTTAGACTTGCGCCGCTGCAGGCTTCGGAACTCTTCATCGAGGTACGTGGTCAGTCCCTGTGGAATATCTGGCAGGTACTGTCCAAGCGTTGCCACTAAGCGAGAATACAGAGGCAAAAGATCAATGCGACCCTTAGGGATGTCCGACACAGCTTTTACTAGTCTGTTTCGTGATGCTTTAGAGTTGACCCAACAGAAATCCAGGGCAAACTGGTCGACTTGATCTTTGGTTTGCAACTCGGGAAGTTTGGCAAGAAGGGAGTCCACCTGGGCACCCACGGTCTTGCTGGCAATGGCAGTTGACTGGTCATCAGCCTCCGCAGTAGATTTCTCGTCCGAAGGCTCGGCAGAGTCGGCGGTTTCGCCATCTGGCTTCTTTTTACCCGACTCCTCGCCTTCGCTCTTCTTCTTTTTACCGTCCTCAAGCAAGACCGCAGGCACCTTGCCCTTCAGATCGACCAGATTCTCATAGAAGCGTCTTTCCTCCTCATCTTCCCAAATCCCGGCACCCTCGCCTTGGCCTCGCAGGTAATCAGTGGTCTTCACAAGGCCAATCCCACCACTAGCAGAGGCATCGGTGGGTTCCTTCTCGGCTAGATCGGGCATGTCGGTTCCCAAAGCCTCACACAGCACCTGGGTATTGGCCACAAGCTTCTCGAGGACCTTGGACTGCTTCTCGAAATTGGCCTGGCGGTCCTCGAAGATCTCGCCACTCTTCACGTATGCTTCGGCATTACGGCGATTTTGCTGTGCTAGCGCTCTCTGATCTCGAACCACGTGAGCCTTGACATCCTCAAGGTACCGGTTCAAAATATTCCTAAAGCGCTGTTGAGTCTTCTCCGGGGTCAGGGGCAAGTCGGTCTCCGAGTGGGCATCCCCATCAGTCTCCGTAGTCTGCGGGTCCGCGGCAGAGGTCGTAGTAGCGCCATCCGGCTCGACGGTTTTCCTGCCATCTTCGGCAAGCTTCGAGCCGACGATATCCCAGCTGAAACTCTTCACAAACAAGACTGCAAGGGGAAGGTTCGTATGATCACGGTCGTGACCGAGCAATTCCTTCAGGACCTCCAATGGGAATGGGTCGGCCTGTTTATCCTGGTCCTTCGCGCCGGCAGCGGGAGTCTTGGCTTTCAGCGGCGCATCTGACGGCTTGTTCCCAATGCCAACTGCTCCCTCTTTGCCCTTTGCACCCAGTTCCTCGGGTCGCTCGACGTCATCGAGAGTCTTCAGCACATTGACCAGCCAAAGCTCTGTAACCACGCGGAGAAGAACTCGGTGCCGAGACAGACGGTCTTTCTCTTCGCGTTCGCGGATTTCCTGGCTGAGCGCCTTGAGCTGCGCTTTGTCCGGTGTGCTCAGTCCCCGGCCCAGCAGCCAGCCGATCTGCCGTGTAAATTCCCAGGGTCCGAAACGCTGGTGCAGCGCACTCACGACCTCCACTCCAGCGGCGATTTCTCCAGGTGATTTGAGCTTGCAGAGGCCTTCGTAGCAGGCGGAGATGATCTCGGAAAGGTACTTGTGGAGCGAGAGCGTGCGGATGTCAGCGAGGAAAGTGGAAAGGGCGGAGGCACTGATGCCGGTGCGTAGACGTTTGATGAAGGCAGTGTTCTTTTTGAGCGCCGAGTCAAGGGACTTGCTAGTGGAGAATACATCTGGTTGCAAGTCGTTAGAATCACCCCAAAGGTGGGCTATAATGATATTTCGTCATAAAGGGAGGCAGATAGGATTTTACCAGATTCGCCTGCCCAGGCTCGCTCGTTCAGGTCGCGAAGCTCCCCTGAAATAAAGAATTCAAACGTTAGTCAATATCTCCAAGGTGAGGTGCAGTAGATCGTACTTTTACGTTGGCGATCCATGGCTGTGTATCACAGGGCTCAATCGTGGGGTCCTTTCTGAATGTCCGAGAGGAAAGCGCATAAGTGACTTGAATGCCACATTGGGGGAAAAAGAAAAGATAAGAGAACAGGGCAAAGCTCAAAGCTTTGAAGTGAAATGAAGCTAGGAGAGCAGGTCGAGGGTCTAAAGGTCCCAAAGGTCAAAGGCGGAGCGGAGGTGAAGGCGGACTTTTATTGCTTATCCATTTATCCACCCGACACTTGTGCGATAACTTCTTGCTTGTACTT